GGTAAAGATGTTACATGTTACGTTAAGTTGTTTGTGTTGACCGAGTGAAAGACGTTACATGTTACGTCATAAGATATGGCAGTAGTTAGGACAGATGTTACATGTTGCGTTAAGTTCTGTGTGTTGGCCGAGTAAAGATGTTACATGTTACGTCATGGGATATGGCTGGAGTTAGGACAGATTACATGTTACGTTAAGTTCTTCGTGTTGGTCAAGTAAAGATGTTACATGTTACGTTAAGTTCTTTGTGTTGACAGAGTAAAGATGTTACATGTTACGTCATGGGATATGGCTGCAGTTAGGACAGATATTGCATGTTACGTTAAGTTGTTTGTGTTGACCGAGTAAAGATGTTACATGTTACCTCATGGGATATGGCTGGAATTGGGACAGATGCGCAGCAATGGCAATGGCGGCGGGTCCAGAAGAAACACTTGTTTCAGGCTACTGGTCGACAGTTGCACAAAGAAGCCTTTGGATGAAAACGTTCCGAAAAAAATTGATAAGCAAAGCATGCAAATATAAAACAAAATGGCCCAAAACCCAGGTTTTAGACACTTGGAGAAAGGAATTTGATCAAATTCCTTGCAGATATGAAATTGCAATTCGCATGGCCCTGCCAATACAAAATACACCTTCGACTGCAAATAAAGGTCCGAATAAACCCCCGGACGGATGTTTGATTAACGATCACCGGAGGGCATGTGTATATTTCCAAGAACACCGGTTTTCTTCGCCAGTTTAATGCGAAATAATCAAATTCGCTGTGGCTACACACCCTGCCGCCGGAAGAGTGTTGACGTGGGGCAATCGCAGCTTTGGCTATCCCCCCGCGATTGGACTACCTTTTTGTGAATTAACTTAACTATGGAAAATTACAATTTTAAAGGTACAGTAAATCAACTCTAAGTGGGCCATTTTCAATAGCTATGTTAACTTCCCAGAGTGTACGTATAACTATGTCCACAAAAATAATCAAAGAGATAGGAAAGATATATGGACAAATATGAATGGATTATTTCGGAATTTTCAACGAATAGTACTATATACTTGGTGGATCCCATTTAGTAAATGGGTAAACACCACCAGTTATATACGGAATATACGCAATGAGAAAAGGGATGAAATATGGGGGTTATATAGGGATCAGAAACAACGGATCCGATTCGTGGGATGCACATCTACCTTTGGTTTGGTCAACGTCCTTTCTCATGCGGGAGAGTTTAAAGTTTTATTAAAAGCCAGGCAACTAGAATATGTCTATGTATACAAATTAAACAACAAAAACATAAATTGATATATATATATAATATAACATACACATACATATGTATAGCTATATATGTATGAATACATGTTGAAAATTAGATACGAATGTACACAAATGAATATGTATATACAGTGTGTATACATGATACACTTTTTTTGGGTATCATTTGGGTAGCCGGTTAGCCATGATGAACCATGTATGGGTGAATCTTTCCTGCGAATTTGATTCACAGTTACACCATGGCAAAAAATCCATCCCAATCCCAATATGAAATAAGGCAATATGGGAATATTGGTGCTACTGATGATGTATAACTAGCTATATATATCCCATGTGTTTTAGCTAGTGATGAATAACATGATTTTTCAGCAGCAATGGGGATATTTTGATGGGAATTACCGGGGGTTCAGTATGTAAATCGAACTGAATGGGCATAGCTGTGTCGGTACCGGAGGGTAGACTTCGAAACGGTGAGTGAGCTTCGAACTTCACATTTTTCTGGTGTCATAGTTTCACATACCCTCTCGTAATTTAACATAACTATTGAAAACCACCACTTTTAATAGATAAACAACGGACTAACTGGTGTATTGTCCATAGCTATGGAATAGATTACTAGAGGGTAATGTTCATATAATTTGTGTTTGTCACAGCAGCGCAAACTCCAGGTTTTAGTTGTGTAATAATCAGTAATACTATCCATTGGTTTTGTTGATGAAACCTCCACAGTTCTGGCGACTACCACTTGATGATTCCCAACTGTTGCGACGGTTTGTTGGTGATTTTTTGGGATGGGTTGCCATCTACTGACATGTTATTTTTTCTTTCAGGGACAGGCTGTGAAAGTTTTCCGGTAATCTAACATAGCTATGGACCCTTTCCCATTTATATAACTGGTTGGTGGTTTGGAACATTTTTTATTTTTCCATATATTCGGAATAATAGCCCCAACTGACTAATATTTTTCAGAGGGGTTGAAACCACCAACCAGATAAAGTCGACCCACTGAACATGGTGATTTTCCATGTCGCAAACTGCGCGAGTCGTCTGAGGTAAGCGTTTGCAAGCTGCTGGATCAGGAGGATGTGGTGCCTTGCGATACTATGGTTGCGAAAGCATCTAGTGAATCTCATTATTTTTGCGGTTAGAAACGATTGGTAACTATTGAATTGGCTATCTTATCCCATTATAATCCCATTATTTATAGTGGTTCATAGGAATCCCAATAGTTACTGTACCAACTGGTGTAGGATTTCTTCCATCCACTGTATGACTGAACATGACTGAATGTGAGGGTATCCCAACTGACCTGATTTCACAGCTCGGCGAAGTGGGATGAGATGTGGATGGGAATCCAGTGGTGCAGTAGACCTACTCAGCTTTGTTCAGTGGTTTTCTGAATGCTGAATGGTGTGTTTTTGTCACAACAGTAGGATCCAAATGATACCCAAAACAGATGCGGTTGCCATTTTTAGCCCTAAGACATCAACTAAGAAAATCATGCTAAAAGAGTAGTAAATTGATGTCGAACATAAACAATATTACAACCATATGTAGTTTTGCATCTTTTTGGGGTGTATTCTATCCTGGCATATACTTGCCACTTCGGGACCTGTGAAATGATTCTCCAACTTCGAGATTCTTGGGCGGGGTTACGCAGAGGTCCTTTGGCCATTTTGCTTGCCTTTTAGTAGGGTGGTCATTTTACTTAATTTCAATCCATATTTGTGATGTTTGGTTGATACTTGTACTGAGTAGTAGAGCTACGGTAGGCTTACGCTAGTTAGTTGCATCATGTTCATAGGGTGAAGAACACATCTATGTAGAGCCTGCCTCAAGCAGCATTTCGCAGGTGTTGAAGGAAAAGAAGTTGGCTTCCAGTGATCTTCTGGCAAAATATGGCGATGAACTGAAAGACAAAGGGTCCGGTGCCCAGATCATCGAGATGTTCACCCAAGATTATCATATTCCTCAGAAACCGATGTTTTAAAAATCGTTTTATTTTTGGGGTGTACTTTTCTTTTGAGACATGACATGACTGGTAGCTGGTGGACAAAATCACAGAAGCAGGTCAAGCCTCCTCGTGGGAGGATATTTTTTATGGTTTCCTAATGACTGGGGGTACCCGTATATGAAACGGGGTTTATTTGCGTGAGTATATGGGGCGATTCACCCATGGTCACATCACAGGGAATTGCCTAAAAGTGCTGCATTCCAGTAGTAGAAGTTTCCGTTTCCGAGGTGTTGAGTCTCTGTCAACCAACAGGATGCACCATCATAAGGGGAAACATTCATGGGGATATCAAGCGGGAATACAATAATTATAATATATATATATATATGTACACCCTACAATTCTACTATATAAAGTAATATAATAGCCATGCGATCATTTTTAAACCACGTCCTTCTTTTTGGGAAGGTCCCCTCCTAGGCGTCGTGCGTTTTTGAACACACAACGCCTTTAAAACCTGCATTTCGTGAATGTTTTAAAAATGCATCTTCCAAGAGGGGTCTCCGAAGTAACTTTTTTTAACCTCATCGCGCATACATTGCTTTCAAAGCTTTGGACAGGTGTGAGACACAGTCGTTCTTTTCTTGAGATCGGACACCAACGTCAACATATCCAAACCAAAACATCGAACGCGTGTCAAACCATCACTTGCAAAAGTGAACAGCGTGTCAAGAACGCACATGCAGGAACGTTAATAAACAAGAACGCTATCATCCCCCCCCAACCCCCCCCCACCCCCACCCACCCCACCCCACCCCACCCCCCACCCCATCCCACCCCCCCGAACAACCCTGGCATGCCAACACGCCACCGGACACCAACGTCAACATATCCAAACCAAAACATCGAACGCGTGTCAAACCATCACTTGCAAAGTGAACAGCGTGTCAAGAACGCACATGCAGGAACGTTAATAAACAAGAACGTTATCATCCCCCCCACCCCCCCCCCCCCCACCCCCCCCAACCCCCCCCCCCGAACAAACCCTGGCATGCCAACACGCAACTATAAACGCAACAGCGCAACAGCGTCAAGAATCGCAGCAAAACGCGCGGAACATGCAACGACGCACACGAAAACAAGGAAGCACGTGAGATGACATGGATGCTTCGACAGTGACGCAAACATGAAAAAATGACAACACTCCGCGACGCCCTCGAGGGGACCTTACCTTGTTTTTCGCTTCCTTTATCCCACGTTGTTGGTCCGTCCCCAGAAAAAGCTGATTGTGTTGAAGGACATAAAAGGAGGGGGCCTAGTTTCTCATCTAAAATAGGTGGATAGCGTATTGACATTCATAAATAGTGTATTTTCCTAGTTGAAACTAACTATTAATGGATAGCTAATTTTGCTGGTTTCATGAATCACACATTAACAAACTCATTTCATCAACCGGAAAGAAATTTCAGATCATCCCGGTTGGAAAAAAAAATCGACTTTTTAATGTCAGCCTCTGGTAAACTAACAGTCTGTTATTGAAAATGGTCCAGTCGAAATAGTTGATTTACCCATGAAAAATGGTGATCGTCCATCGTTTTTTTGTAAGTTTACCAGAGGGTATACCCCAATTTCAGCAAAATTTGAGAAGGTTTTTCTTGATTCACCCATGAAAAATGGTGATTGTCCATCGTTTTTTGTAGGTTTACCAGGGGGTATACCCCAATTTCAGCAAAATTTGAGAAGGCTTTTCTTGATTCACCCATGAAAAATGGTGATTTTCCATCGTTTTTCTCCGAGATTTTCGTCAAGTTTTCTGCGGCCCTCCAAAGGACCCTTTTGAGAGACGTCCTCCTGGAAGGTGGCACAGCCAGGTGGGGGGTTTTTATCCCTGCCAGGATTACTGTAGTAACTAGATATGAGACTATATGGGATAATCTATATTAATAGTGGTTAATAGTGGTTAATAATGGTTGATAATGATCATCAATGATCAATATGCTGGTTGGTGGTTTCAAACATGAATTTTATTTTCCCCAATAGTTGGGATGATGATCCAATTTGACTAATATATTTTTCAGGGGGGTTGAAACCATCAACTAGATATGGATTAAGGGAGAAATGTTCATTCCATATATCTATAGACTTCTATAGATATATAGTAAGTGGTCAGAAACCCATAGTCAAGTGAAAACGACACATTTTTAAGTGGAAGAAGCCACTGAACGGGGACTTACGATCACCAGGGATATCAACCAGTCACTTCAGTGGAATGATCCTCCTATTGTACGCAGTCCGGATGATAGTTCTTATCACCAGGTGTTTCAAAAAGTTATATGTAGTATGTAAGTACAAGAACGGTACTTTGGTAGATATAGTGCCCAATTATAGGAATCATATCCGAATTGAATGAGTTGAAACATCCATAGGAAAAACTCAATGTGCTCTCAACATGCTGTAAGAAACATTTCCATTGAGACAAAAAGAGGGTGTTTGGTTTGGCTATGAACATGTTTGAGTGGGTTTAGAGTGCATTTTGAGTGGGTTGATATGTTTCAACATGTTTCAGCCATAGAGCAGGCTTGGAGGTTCCAGCCTTGTTTTTTCCCGAATGCGTAGCAAGGGTTCCCGTTTCACTCTGGGGGTCTGGGGGCTGAGGGTGTTTTCGCTCGACGTTGCGTTTACGTTCGCAACCGTTCGCAACCGTTCGCAACCGCAACCGTTCGCACCCGTCCGCGTGAGGACCATATAGCCGTGCCTATGGTAAGTTCTGCAGAAGGGGTCATTTTTGGAGGTTTCACATGTGGCGTTGCTTCGTTTCGCGTGGCAGGCGTGGCACTTCGTGACATTCAGAGGTGTTTTGTAACGTGTCGAAAGTCGTTTTGTGTGGCAGGCGCAATACTTTAGCGACGTTTTCAGAAGATGCTTTGCAGTTTTCGTGGCAGGCGCAGCACTTTGGACGTGTCCAACGTCAGTTTTCGTGGCAGGCGCAGCATTTTAGACGTGTCGTGTTGCGTGTTTTTTGCGAATCGCATTGGCAGGGCTGCGTCAAGTGGCGACAAGGTGCAGATTCCGTGGTAGGCGTGGCATTTTGTGACGGAACCCTCGCACGAAACATCGATTTTGAGGTAGCAAAATTTCAGGTTCCTGAGAAAACTCGTAGGAAAACGTCGATTTTGAAGCTACAAAGTGTGAAAATTGGAGGAAGTCTCGCACGAAATGCTCGTTTTGGTGCTCGTCTCGAGTCTCTGGTTTTGCTGTGGCCTCGCCGTGTCTATGGGGGAAGCGGCAAAACCTGTCCTTTTCGCATGTTTCCAACTGTGAAAATTGGCGGACGTCTCGCACGAAATGCTCGTTTGGTGCTCCCACGACTTTACACTCCGCAGTTTCCATTCCACGCTCCACACTCTACACTCCACACTCCATGGTTTACACTTTAAAAATACATGTGAGCATTCGGGTTCGTGGGCTGCATCTTGTTTTTTTTTCCGACACTTCAAGCTCCATGGAGGTATGCTTGCCGGAACGGTTGCATTTCTGTTGGCGACACAACAAGGTGGGGTCTCAGGGCAAGGGGGGCACCAATTGTACAGATGGGTGATTGGCTACACCACAAATATCTACTATGATGTTGGTAATTAATACAGTAATACTATTCAATATTTACCAGCTGGTTATTTAACAGTTCGCCATGGAAAATCACCATTTTTAATAGGTAAACCTCTATTTCTATGGGCCATCTATACCATGGCTATGTTAGTCATAACCAGATGGTATACAATATATGTATACAATAGTATACAACTATGTTAGTTGGGTTTATGGTAGCTGAACTAATGCTGAAGCAACTGGCGGCCGTCTCTGGGGCGTTCGGAAGTGTCATGTCGAAGTGGAAGAGAACTCAGGTCGCAGAAATTGGCTGGGCATTTTGTGGACACCGCAAAGATAAATAGATATTATATATTATAGATAGTTAAACATATATGATATTATATGATATTATTCTGGACATATAAATAGCTTTCTTATTATATGATATTATACTTACTGGTGCTTAGTAGGGAATGGATGGGAATGAGGGAATGAGATTCTTATTGATAGTTACCGGTATTGTGGGTCATTCCCTCATTCCCTGCTAAGCCCCAGTAAGTATATGTCAATTAAATGAAATGTTTACTTCATCCGAGAACAGCATGTGACTGCCTCGGGTATAGGTCAAACACTGAGAAACTAGGATCTATAGATGTTTAATTTCTTTCCGGGCCATGAACCATCCCAG